TGGGTCTGAAGCTCCGCAAGGTGGAATTCATAAAGGAAATGTTTTGTGCAATGATGCAAGAGAGTGTTGGAAACTGTGCGCACAGTGTTCGTTTCGTTCCGCGGTTTGCGTATGCGTTCCCGGCGCCGGCGGCGGATGTGACGGGTGCATTGTGGCCCCGCCGGCCCGCTCCCGCTCCCGAGTAAGACTCGGGCCATGCGAGCGGATAGTGTGTGCTTTTGGAAGCACGCCAGTCGATCGAATTGGCTCATGTTCTTCGTCTGCTGTCTGCAACCCATCCCAAGCGTCATCATTGATGCTTCGCCTTGTTCGAAGGATGAAGCTTGAGGATTCCTCATTTGGCGGGTAGCTGACCGGAGGAATATGACTGATATTGACTGTGTTGTGGTATTCTTGCTCGAAAATGTGTAGTAAAATATCTCGTCCCACATAGGTCTCATCATTTGTTCGTCCTGTCATTCCCCTCAACTCGGATACGGCTGCGTCCTCCGTGTCCGCCGGGTCGTTCGCTGCGGCCGGCCGGAAGCAGCTGGAGAAGCCGGGGCACGGGGAGTCGCGGGGATACTCCGGCTTGGCCCGGGCTGCGGCTCTGACTCTGGCTCCGGCTCCGGCTCCTCCTTCTTTGGCGCTCTCGCCATCACTTCTACCTCACCCTCTTCCTCCTCCTCTTCTTCTGGGTCCTCCTCCATCTCCTCTTCCACCTTCATCTCCTGCTTCACGTCCGTCCGATCCGGCACAGCCGAAGCCACCCGCCACAGATCCTCGCCCGTACCCTCCCGCTTGACCGAAACCCGCGACAACATGGCCGGCGAATGCAGCTCCGACAGCTCGTCCTCTTGCTTCACCGACGGGCCGGGCGTAGGCGTCTGCACGCCGGCAGCCCACGCCTCCACCCGGCTCAGCCGCTGTCTCTGCTCCTGGGCGTACTCCCGAGCTGCGTGCTGCCTGCCCTGCTGCTCCCTCGCCCGGATGTGCGAGCGCACAAGGTGATCGCAGTGATCTGCATCAATCATCCGCCCAGCTGCCTCGGCCTCGCGCACCCTCCTCTCCACGTACAGCTGCCGCTCAGCCCGCTTCCGCCGTCCATGCTGCCGCTCCGCCTCATGCGTCCTGCGACCAGCAGTCCTCCGCTTGTACGCCAGCTCCCACGCATAATACGCCGTCGACTGCTCAAAGCTCAGCTCCTCCGGCTCGTCATCCGTCTCCTCATCCCACCACTCCGTCCCCGCCTCCCAGAAATGCGGATCCAGCGCCTGCACGCGCTCCGGCCCCTCCATCTCCGCGTCAAAGTTCCCCGCCTCCTCGCCCGCGTTCTCCATGGCCGCAGCCTCCGCCTCCTCGCGATACTCCGCCGCCCGCATGACGTCGATGAGCGCCATCTTCTGCCGCTCCGCGCGCTCGCACAGCGCCTGCTGCGCCGCCAGCTTCTCGTCGAGGTCCTCGCGGCGCGCCTCCGCGGCGTCGAGCGCCTCGCGCAGCGAGTCGACCAGCGCGTCCTGCGCCTCGATCTGCTCCTCCCAGGCGTCGACGCCCTCCTGCGCGGCGGCGAGCATGCGCTCCGCGCGCGCGAAGGCCCGCTCGGCCATGGTGCGCCCCGCGACGGCCATGTTGCGGTCCCAGACGGCGCAGTAGTAGCCGAACATGTCGATGTGCTTGCCGTAGTTGCCGCAGCCTTTGCAGGAGCGCTCGTCCCGGTCGTGCGGGGCCAACCACAGGGGGTCCATCTTTGGAGTCGTCGCCGGCTTGGGCTGCGCTGTTCTTTGGCGGATGGTGCGGGTTACGAGATTCCCTTGCCGGGTGGTGGTTTTATATGTGCAGCCGTATGTCAGATGACAAGATGCTGCGACGTTGGGTTCTTGCTCGGTCAAATATAGGCTGGGGAGTTGACGATGAAGTGGTGAGAATGAGCGAGGCACAAAGAAAATGACGCGGTTGAAACACGCCCGAAGCTGTTGGATGGGAGACGCGTCTGTGGTTTAAATTCCTAGTGGCTCAGATTGAGTCTTGCGCCCCGTGTGACGCCACGCTTCAGGGGCTGATTCGCTGTGGCATTGGCCTGCGCTGTTACACGTGGTCGTGCACCCACGGCAGTTCAGGGGTGGATTGCATCCCAATTAGTTGCTTTTTCTCCAACACGCACTATCCATTGGGCGACGTGAAATCTTTCGGGTCGATTTTGTGACTGATAATCGTTACGATCTAGATCAATCTGGGCGACGAGATCGGGGGGAGTTGTGTGCGAACTTGCTGTCAAAAGCCAACGTAGCGTTGACCCATTACTAATAGCGATACGATGGATAACTCGGCAAAAACCTGTTGATACAAGTTGAACAATCTTGTGAGTGTTAATTCAGGAAAATTCAAACTGAAGGGGGAAAGCTGAGAAAGAGATCAAACTGTCAAGTACGCTCCAACCAAATGGCAGCACAACCGCATGACCGTCAACACTGCTGGCGATGAACCTCATCTACGAGATGGATACGGCTGGTATCTTGACGATTTCTCCTCAGTCTTATACGTGCGTCTAGGTCCAGAAAGAACAGCGCCTGGCGATGCTGTTGCCGCTGTACCTGAATAGGTTCCCTCCAGAGATCTCTCAGGTGGTTTCGAGGTTGTAACGGGCAAAATGTCTGTCCAAGGTGCCGCCAATGATTGGACAGTCTTGATGGTTGCGTTCCAAACTCGACGCATGATAGCATCAGGGTTTGCAGTTTACAAAGAGCCGGTAAATTAATGATTGTGTTCCTTTTGCGATTTCTTTCCTTTGATAGAGGCGACTTCATCCTCGTCGTCCGTGTTTCCTTCGCACAGAGGCCTGTCTTACCGTTCCCGTTCTTCGCGAGCCTCGGGCAGAGTCCTCGCCTCCTCGGTTTTTTCCTTTAGAAGTTGTCGGATCCTGAGTTTTGGTCGTCAGAACCCTTCGATTTCTCCAGCTTATTAGCAAAATTCGCTTCTATTCGGCCAATTTTCCGCTCGATTTCACCGACGTCCTCTCTTTCAACGTGCCTTTCCTGTAGAAAACATCCAGCTCTTGTCTCCATCATTCGAAACCTTGGCTTCTCTCTTCAAACTATTGGTTCATTGCTGATTCCATTGCTCAGTAGCTTAGCAATGCTCCTCAAGCTCTGAGCTCCAACTTTTGAGAGCTGGGCGCTCATCTTCATTTCGATTCGGGGGCAATGCTCTTTCTGTTTCCTTTCTTCTTATTTGTGTTCCCCCCCCCCCCCCATTTTTTTTTTGTTTTGGCCAGCATCCTCTCGAGAAGGAGCTCTCCAAACGGGCGCAGGCTTCGAGTCCCTCGGGGCTTCCGTCGCTAACAGCCTGGGCACGTTCCGATGGAACTCGACGGCCGTGGGTTTCTCGCAGCGGAAGACTGGAAGGTCGCTCATCTATGCGAGAGAATCATATTCAAATGCATCGAGAACTCATTGACGTCTTCGAGGATGTTTGCCTGGTGGCGAAGAAAGGATCCAAACAATAGTTTCAGACGGCGCCATGTGAGAAGATTGATCACTCAACGACAATCCGACATGCCTACGCGCTGCTGTAGCTTGCATCCATATTGATACAATATGCAAGAGAAGTTTAGTAGCTTGATTTCAGAGCTGGGCTTCTCTCGCAAGTCGCACCACTCATTCCCTTCTTTGATTTATTATGTGGTCCTCCTAAAATAGACCTAATCAAAAACTAGCTCGTTCTCTGAATATCCTTTCCTCAGTAGTATATGCAGCACAGCCGAAGAATCTGTTCATCTTGCTTAGCTAGATCGTTTAAGTAAAATGACACCCAAATATATCTCCTAAGCACCGCAACTGCTTCAATAGACGCCTCACACTTATCTCATGCGATTCTTCCTCGACCTACCTCAGGCTTCTGTCTGTATCACATCTTTGAACTTAGCTTAAACAAACTTCTTTACGCCTTGGCGTCCTCGATAACCCAAATTTAAAAGCCCGCCCTGATACAGCAAGCTTGTCCCTGGCTATGGTTGAGCGAAGCTTAATGGTGGGACCTTGGTGCTCGAGAATATCCTGTAGTTGCTAACCGGCAAACTACTTCTGCTTCTCTATGCTAAGCCGCTTCAAGAGAGAGCATTCCAAAGCATTGATGGCAGCACGCCGCTGGCTCAAACACAGGTTGTCCTGCGTAAGAGCTAATAGACCAGGGTATATTCGGGCCTTCTCCGCCCCGCGTTATTTCCCTCTCGCCAACGTCGACTGCGCCGCAGGTGTGCACGCCGCGTTTGATGGCCACAACCAACAGACCCTCGCGCCCGGCACCTGGGGCTTTTGCAGAAGACTCGTTATGGGCAATGCTTCAACCCCCTGGAGCCGGTGGGGTCGGCTGGCATTATCATTCGACGAGGCACACCAACAGGAACTTATGGTTGGTTCCTTCGTGATGCGAGCTGCAGCAACTCGGGAGAATAGCCAGCAGGAGTATGCAAATCGTGCTGACGAGGCCCAATGAGCACACGATCCAGAGTCGAGTGCTGCTTTATCAGTGGGGCAGCAGCCATTACCGGCGATGTGATAATCAAGTACGTCAAATATCTGAATGGCTTACGATCACATTTGAAATAATGATTCCTGGATGAATACGAACATACTTCCGAATAATAAAAGGACAACTTGAGTTCTCTCTTAAGCTTCGATGTTATGAAAGCCCGGTCGCTGAGCAAAATATGTATGGGCAGCTGTGGGCGGGAAGGTCGACAGCCTGATCAGGCCTGTCAATGATCCAATACCAAGAGCCAAACACGTAGGATCTCCACCTGAATCCCGGAAGAGAACAGCCAGGCCGTCCACACTGCATGACCTTCTCTGCAGGAGGAACGCGCGAGTCGCCGAGCTGCGGGGGTTCTTCAAGCACCATCACCCCATAAATGAGAAGAAAACCTCTCCGGTCCCCCCTCCATGTTTTTTTTTTTTCGCTCAACGAGGTCGGATCCGTCTGATAAAACAAATTGGGCAATTATTCAGTTGGGTATCTTTCGAGCCATGACCGATTCAACCAGCGACGCCCCGGCGGCCCCGGCAACGGCAGCAGTTCGGACATCTCAGACGCCACCCCCGGCGTCCCCGCAAGCGACAACAAGTCCGAAGACACAGACACCCCCGGAAGCCACGAGAGATTCGACGGCGTCGCCTACCCAGACATCTCCGGGGCCTTCGGCGGCGCCAGCAACCCCGGCCACCCGCGCAGGTCCTGTGGCCCGAACAGTCCCGCCCGAAATTGACTTGCAAACGGCCGGTGAACCAGGTCCCATAGAACCGAACGACGTGGCAAGTGTTTGTGTGGAAGGCAATTGCAGAGCCAAGGCTTCACGCTAACGGGCACATAAAGGCCACGGACGATGACGGGTTGACCATTGATGACCGGCTGTATGTAACTGGTCCTCTGTTGTTCGGAAAGACGAGCTGATAGCCAATAGGTCTACGTACACGGAGTCTTTGACTTCAAGTGTAATTGACTACCCGGAGGAGTTTGGTCGACGCTACCATGCGTACCGCCCTGGATGTAGGTTTATTAACCTACCCTGTGCACCACGTGCTTTGGGAACGTGAATGCGGCCTGTGAGGCAATGGAACGCTGATCTTTGATAGCTTACAACTTCCCTAACGACGAGGTATGGGAAACCTCATCAGGCACGCGCCCGGGTGCGCGGCTCCCGGAATTTGCTTTACTGACGCCATCCTTCCACTCCAGGGCGAGTCAGACCGTTTGGATCTGTTTCACAGCATGGTCGTTAAGACAATCGGCTACAGGCTGTTTCTGGCACCTGTAGATCCTGGCAGGACGCATCGAATCCTCGATGTCGGCACTGGCACAGGTATATGTGAGTGCAGTGTCCTAGCAGGTTAGGTCGCCATGATCAACTAATTCGGGTCATAAGGGGCGATTGAGGCCGCCGAATTATTCCCCGACGCAGAGGTAGGTTCATCGCCGGTAAGATGAATTTGATTCCGCCTCTAATACTCTCAAACAGATTTATGGAAATGATCTCAGCGCGATTCAGCCTGGATGGTAAATAACTGCCTTAACCTATGCAATGTGCAATTCAAACTGACTGGCTCCAAGGGTGCCCCCTAACGTGCGCTTTGAAATCGATGACGTGGAGAGTACTTGGATGGACGACCGGTCGTATGACTTCATCCACAGCCGATACATGGCATGCTCGTTGAAAGACTGGCCAACCTACATGCGTAGGGTTTATGAGTGGGTGGTCGTGCTTCCAGACGCCGAAAGTGGCGATTATCCGGAGAGCTATAACTAATGACGTTGACTGAATCCAGCGCCCTGAACCATAATGGTTGGGCCGAGTTTTCTGACATGAGTGTCCTCTACGGCTGCGATGACGGCACTCTTAAGGAAGAACACGCGCTCATGAAGTGGGACCGACTGTTCATGGAAGCTTGTGACAAGCTAGGCACGGAGCACTCTCCTGGGCCAAAGTTGGATGCCTGGGTAAGACAGCAACCGTACAGAAATGTCAGATCCTATCACTTCAAGATTCCCCTGGGTCCGTGGGCAAAGGATCCTCATAACCAGGACCTCGGCTGGAACAATCTTGCGCAGACCATAGATGGTCTCGATGCGTTCACTCTGAAGCTCTTCATTGGGGTTCTGGGATGGACCAGGGAAGAAGTCATTGTCCTTCTTGCGCAAGTTCGTAAGGAGTTGAAGAGTCGGCCCTTCGCCTTCCACGCCTACATCGACTGGTATGTGTTTTTGAAATCTCGCTTATTGTTCTTCCGAGCTAAAAAGGTCCATTCAGGTACGTTGTTTACGGACAAAAGGTGGTTGCCGAGGAAAATTGATCATTTAGCGGCATTGTGCCCAAGTATGGCGGTGCCAAGTCGGCATCTAAGGCTTTGATATATGACAAAGTGTCATTCAAACGCTCATTTATGTAGAAATGTAAGAGTTCCGATACATCTATGGACATTGAGAAGGATAGGCAGGCTTCGCATTCGAGGAAAGTCCGAACCAATGAAACAGAAACGAAAGGAGATCAGAAATGAACGTTAGCCGGGGTGTGCTCCAGACGTCTAGAACTAGTCCTTTCTTTCAGCCTCCTGGCACTCCCGCACGGATGTTGTCGTACTTGCTGTTCGGGTAGCTCAACTGGTTCTCACTCGAATCCTGCGCGGCACTGCCACCCAGAGCATCGAAGCTGGTCTTCATCAGACTAGCGTCATCGGTCCTGTCCCCGCTGGCTTCCCAGAACATCGACCCTCCAAGGCCCTTGCTTTGCAGGTAAGAGACCTTGGTTCTCACCACAGCCGGCGTGTCGTATGAAATGAGCTCCTTAGCGCTAGAATCGTAGCTGTAGGACGCAACTGCGGTCGCATCGTACAGCTCCGTGGCACCCGCACGAGGAAGTGCCTTGTAGTCCCACACGCCGTTCTCCCACGATCCGCTGCCGATGCCGGTGAACGGCTGACCGATGCCGTTCGTCTGCTCAAAAGACCGTCCGTAGATGGGCATCCCGAGGACGATCTTAGAGGCGGGGACGCCGGCGGCGAGGTAGTCGCTCACGGCCTTATCGGTCGAGAAGGGGGTGGCGGTGGGGTTCGCTGGGTTCGGGAAGAGGTTCGCTTGGTGGCCGCTGTTCGCATCCCAGGATCCGGCATAGTCGTAGGCCATGAGGTTGAAGGCGTCGATGATATCTGACATGGCTTTTAGCTGCATGACGTTATAGTGGTCAGGTCCTGCGGGCGATGCGACAGTAAGAAGATAGTGGTAGCCCGGGGTGTACTGCGCAGCGTAGGCATCCAGCTGGCTTCTGATTTCTTGAAGAAGCAAGACGAAGTTGGCTGCATCGCCCGCCGTGGCAGGGTACTCCCAGTCCACGTCAATTCCATCAAAGCCCCAGTCTGTCATCGTAGGTTAGTCTCAGTGGTTTCAGCGTCGTGCCCTAGATGCATGCCTACCTTTCATAAGCGTGATCGATGACGAGGCGAAGAGAGACCGGCCTGCTGCAGTGCTGGCAGCAGCCGGGAAGTTGGTAGACCAGGTCCAGCCACCGATGCTGAGCATGACTTTCATCCGGCGATTGGCTTTCTTCAGGAGATAGAGCTGCTTGACGCATCCGTATGCGTTTGTGCCGATATCGTTCCAGGCTGGTGAGCAGGAGTGAGACGAGCTATCCGCAAGGTTTCAAGATTCATGGGGGCTTACAGTCGGAGGCATAATGCTTTTCCAAATCAGAGTACGTGTCCGCGGTGTAACTGTAACGTGTCAGTTTACTAGACCTAAAAGATGCCACAGACGGGCGATGAACTATCGATACTTCTCGAGATGGAAGAAACTTACACCTCCCCAGTGTCCCGCAGGTTCATGAACGCGTAGAGAACGTTCGTGATCTGAGATGCAGGGAGATCCTGCGGCTGATAGTTGCGTCCATAAATGGCCCTGAATCTGAATTAGAATACAACAAGCGGTCTCAATACAGAAGGCGACATACCAGTTGGTGAAGTACACAGCGTTGGTATAGCCATTCAGGCCTCGGGTGGTGAGGTTGACCGGTGAGGCCTCGGTGAGACGGATTGCGGGAGACATGATGCTAGCGATAGCAACTAAGGAGCGGAAGAACCTCATCTTGACCGAAATTAAGAGGAAGCTGTTAAATAGTCTATAGAAGGAGTGTAAGAAAAAGGCTGTGCCGCACCTCAACTAAACGTCACTAGACTTGAGGCGATCAACTGATCATATTATACTAATTCTGTCCGGTGAAGTTAGACAATGCGCTACCCAAGATCTCACCCACGAAACAATGGGAGAACTAGGGACACAAAGCCATTGTTGCCTCCGACCACATCTGTCATCTGAAAATCGTGCGTGCTCGACTTACATGCGAAACGTTACGTCCTCTGCCAATCAAACTCTGAGCTCCCCTGAGCCAATCCTGCCAGAAGTCTGGCTTGCGAAGAATTCGCAACGCAATTTCCACGAGGCGCGTGAAGGCATCGTGGTCTTGTCGCTCGCGTCACGCTTAGATGGTTACAACCAATTTGACAGTGATCCGTCAAGCGTGTGGTCTAGCGTGCCATCAACCCACCAAAGGATGACATGCCTCGCGCGGCCATATTGGCTGCACCAGCACACTGCGAATCTCGCGTGGAATTTCGCTTGTATGTGTGTGTGTGTGTGTACGCGCGTGTGTGTGCATGGTGGAGCGCCGCCAACACCATAGGTGAGGACTTGGTGATGGTGCCCGGTGAGTGGTTGGCGCAAGGTGAAGCGAGGGAGCTAATGCAGGTGTAGCCGGTCTTTTCCTCTGCTAGCATGTCCAGCGACGCCGCCAGATTGGCTGGACTTCTTCAATTCTTCAAGAGCTACCCTTGAAGGGCCATGTGCCCCGAATTTGGTGATTTGACAGCGAATGACCGAGTCGGGGCCGAATGTGACCCTCCATCCCTGGCCCTTATCGCTCTTTTCGGACAGGACTAACGTGAGCACATGCTGCCATTTGGACGAATCTGCTGGAGCCGTATGTCGGCTTATCGCGGCAGTTGTTGTTCCAGAAGTCTGACGTAAATTGGATTTCTCTTCTTTACTACTGAGTTGCTGAGACAGGTATTATGTCGACTAGAGACAACAAGGCGGCATTCGAAAAGTAGCGCAACAACGGCAACCAACAACACTTCCAACAAATCCTCATTCGGCATCGGGGTTACCCCGTCTTCCACCCACCTCCAACAATCCTACGGAAGTTATTATCCTTCCGGAAGGTGGAGATCTGATAAGACGGGCACCGGCGCATCACCCGCCCTGCCCCCTGATCTCCAAAAGGGTTGCCTTCCAGGGGTGCCTTCCAGGGGTGCCTTCCGCCATATGAGCTGCTGCCATCTGATTGTGTGCATATTACAGAGTGGCATCCGCGCCTTCTTTTGCAACTTTGAGTCCATCCGTACGGTTCATGAGGGTATGAGAGATCTGCAACGTTGCAAACGGCGACGACAGATGGACATCCCGAGTAGATTAGGATCTTCCCTCGTCGACGAACCAAGTTGGTAGCCCTCACTGACCGGATCTCGGCGAGTGTTCGATACTACCTTGCTGCACATGGCGAGTTCAGACGTTTACCATCGCCTTCCATGACTGGCTGCGGGCAAGGTTCCGGATCGGTCTGCACGTTATGTGCTAACCGCACTTATTTGCGTTTGCCCTTGCTGAAACCCCTGCAAATGCAGGATTTTTAGGTTTTAGCTATACTACTACCCTAAAGGTTAATTAATATTATCGTTTTTATCGTTTTTAATTAGTTTAATAATAGTCAATGCTATTTATGTTAATTTATTTATATTTCAACGTTATTTATAGCTTTAAGAACTATATAAAGCGTAATATATATATTTAGAGGTAAGATCATATTATACATAATAGTACTAGGTTATAAACCTTTATAAACCTAAGATTTATTATATATATTAAAACATTTAATATATATAAAGGAATAATATATATATATATATATTAATATATAATATAAATAACTCTATAATAGCTATAAAGAAGTTATTGCTTTTTTTATTAACTTTTAAAAGAATTAAACTAACATCTATAATATTTTTATATATTTAATTAAACTTAAAATATATCACCGTTAAGGAGTTAAGCTAATCCTAATTACTAATACCTATAAAGTTATTTTTAAAGTTAATAACTACTAAAAATAGATATTAAAGTATACCTTTATATAATAAGAGTTCTATAAACTTATTACTAATAAAAATAAGTATAAACTTATATAGCTATATCTAAAGAAATAGTAATATTTATAAACTAATTAAAACTTAAACTTATATACTTTTATATAAACTATATATAGTTTATATATACTAAACTTTAAATACTTTTTTAATTAAAACGCTAAATAATAAGAATAATATTAAATTAAAAAATAATATAGATTAAAAAGAAGATGTTAATAATAAAGTTAAAGAGGAGGAAATATCTATTTAGTATAAAACAATTAATATGATAAGCTTAAAACACCTTAAAAAAGCTAAATCTAAAGAAGAAGTTAATTTGTATTAAGAGAGGGTTATATTTAATACTACTAATAAACTTTTTGATCTTAAAAAGTTTATTTTATTACATAAGATTTATTAGTTTAAGATTTCTATTTAACTTAAAGTTATATTCTTTTAGGTTTACGTTAAAATGTAGCTTTAATATCTATATCTATATCTTTAAAACCTATAATCTTATTATTAAGCTTATAATATAGTTTAATTATAATATTATTGAAAAACTACTAAAAAAGTTTAATTATTTATATAAAGATCACTAAGTTATTATTAAAAATATAAATTTATTTTATAAGTCTAATTAAAAAATAGTTTTAGGGAAAAATTCTAAGGAACACTTATTAACTTATTAACAATACTTTATATATTAAGATTAATTTATTAGTATTATTACTAAAAATATTAAGTTAAAGATATAACATGGTTCATCAGTCAGCCGGCTGGACCAGTCAGCCGGACGTTTTTTTCCCACGTACACAACAACATCTAGTATTTCTCAACCACAACGCATTAAATCAACTATTAGTTGTCGCTATCAGAATCTCCTGAGGGTTCGACATCTTTGGAACAGGTTCGCGCGTTATACCCAGTCTCACCACATATACCACAGCATCTCCAAGCTGGCTGGGCTCTCTTTGATGGACCCCCCTCGTCGTCCTCTTGAGGTGCTAGACGTTTCCCTTTTTGTTTCCCTTCAAGCAAAACCTGAGATTCCTCTATACTAAGTGCCCCTCTAAGCTGGACCTGCGTTCTTTTAGCCCTCTAGCGCTTAGCAAGTGCTA